TGTAATGAACAAAAATGGACAGCTGGATCTGTTCTTGCGGTTCCTGCTGGGCATCTCACTGGAGTCCAATCAGAGACTCTTACAGGATCTACTCACACCTAGTGAGAACAGCTCAGAGAGCATCAGGAAAACCACACAGTTCATTAAAGAGAAGATCAAAGATGGACATGGACTCTCCACTGAAAGATCCATCAATCTGTTCCTCTGTCTGCTGGAAGTGAAAGATCAGACTCTGTCCAGAGAGATTCAGGAGTTTGTGAAATCAGACAAACTCTCAGAGAAGAAACTCTCTGCTGCTCACTGCTCAACAATCGCCTACATTCTTCAGATGTCAGAGGAGCCGCTGGATGAGCTGGACCTCAAGAAATACAACACATCAGATGAAGGGAGAAGAAGACTGGTACCAGCTGCGATCAACTGCACAAAAGCTCTGTAAGTGTTAAATCATGTTACAGTGAAGAGTCACTTCTGAATTAAATTAGTTTTTATTGTTGTGATAATACATCTTGAGTGTATTTTACTTATTTTCACAGTAGGAAGTCAACTAAAATGAGAAAAGTAGCCATGATTTAACGAAAACAAAGTAACTAAAATACTACAAATTACTAATAAAGGGATGAATTCATAAAAAACATACATGAACAAATAAAAAATATATACATTTACATTTACATTTAGTCATTTAGCAGACGCTTTTATCCAAAGCGACTTACAATTGGGGGATACATAAAGCGATTCTTCTTAAAGAGGCAAACAGACACAAGAAGTGGTTGTAATACCAAGTTCTTAGACATTGTTCAAATAAGTACAAGCTAGAAAGAGAAGGAATAAATAAAGAGAGAGTTTTTTTTTTTTATGATGAAGTCAAGTAGCTTCGAAAGAGATGAGTTTTCAGCTGTCGCATGAAAATTGTCAGGGATTCAGCATTCCGGATAGGGGTAAGAAGATCATTCCACCAGCCAGGAGTGGTGAACGAGAATGTTCTGGAAAGTGATTTTGAGCCTCTCTGTGATGGTACCACGAGGCATCGCTCATTAGCGGATCTCAGACTTCTGAAGGGGATGTAAATTCGTAGTAGGCTGGCCTGGAGGAGAGAGGACAAATATCATCTAGACAAGAGGTTAAAGTAGAGCATAAAGTGTCAGTTGCTGCATTCACATCCAGAGATGAGAAATGGGTAGGTGAGGGAAGAGAGGAGGATACAACGGAGGAAAGATGGGAGGGGGAAAGGGAGCGTAGGTTTCGTCTAAAAGTAACCGGTATGGGGGTTGGTGGCACACAGGTAGCAAAATGTAGTTGAAATGTAATGAAGAAATGATCAGAGATATGTAGGGGTTTGACCAGAATGTTGTCTGCAATACATCTGCGTGTGTAAATTAAGTCAAGTTGGTTGCCTGATTTGTGCGTGCTTGTGGTGGTAAGTCGTTTGAGATCAAATGAAGCAAGGAGTGAATGGAAGTCTGTAGCATAAGGCTTGTCCAGATGAATGTTGAAGTCGCCAAAGACTAAAAGTATAATTATATAATTTTGTATTATCTTTTTTATACATGTAGAGTGTGATAAATTGTAGCAATGTGTGGTGTTGTAACAAATCAGGCCTCTGTGGCTCTCTCCGACCACCACCGGAGTGCACCCTCTCCTGAGTACTAGCATTCATGGACTCCATTTCCCATACACCCCATACCTGGGACTGATTACTGGCACAGGTGTTTCCCCTTAGCTTCCCCATTTAAGCTGCATCTGGACTCTTAGTTTTCGTGAAGTCTTTTTTTGCCACGGCTAACATCTCTGAGCATTTATCCCCTGTCTATTTGATCTCTCGTGTATTATCTTGGATTGTTCATTCTAGTGTGATTCTCTGCCGCCTGCCCCGACCCGCGCTCTGTTACTGTTTACTCTTCTGGGTTGTTCCTGACACCGTTGATTGATTACTGCCTGTTTGACTCTGCTATTTATTTAATAAAAGCTGCAAATGGATCCGCATGTGTTTGACCCCTCATTACAGGTGTATTCTGTCAGTCATTGTAACATTAAACATACAAGACTTTACAATGCATTTCTGAGCCATTGTACCTTGGTTTCTCCTGATCTTCTGCCTGTTGTCTTGGATTACCCCGTTTGCTTGTCTTTTCTGTTTTGGTGTTTATTGTCTGGATTATCTGCATGGCGTTTTGACCAATTGCCTGTTATATGGATTATGATTTTGGATTAACCTTCAATAAAAGGCTGCATCTGGACATCTTTTGTGTCTCAGAGCAGTATGTAACATAAGGGCCAAAACATGCAACCAAACATTTTTAAGAATAATCATATCACTTTCATGGTTAACATTTAAAAACATCCCAATCCAGTGATACTGAGTATTTTTAATAGTAGTATTAATAAATAATAATAATACTAATAAGAGTCAATAATGAAAAAATAATTTAATATAATCAGAGGAATTAAATTATTGCCAGATTTTCACACATTTTAAAATCCTGCCTCTGAGAAAATGTGACTTTGAATCCTTCTTTAACAAATCAAACAGGATTTAAGAAACTGTTGAAGGTACTGAGAAAACTTTGAAAACATCTCAGGTTCCGACTGTAACCATGGTTCCTTAAGAAGTGATCAAGATGCTGCATCCAATGACAATACTATGTGGAACGCCTCAATGTGATTGTGCTAAAGCCTGTATGCAACTATTACAATCCTGATTGGTACTGCGTCACCCCGTGACCATGATGGTGTACTGCGGAAGCTATAAAAGACACCTGGAACAAGCCAACATTTGCTTCTGATTGGCGGAAGCAAGCTGTTCACAGACATGCAGGAAGTATGGCAAGCCAACACAGTGTCTCGTTCCTTTCTAGGGGAACCAGGGGTACAGTAGTCCTAGTAGAGTGCACAGCCAGAAGTGAGGGAAGGTAATGCGCCTTGTAGGCTGTAGAGATAGCATCAATGATTAATTTATTTATTGTCTGCTTGGAGGCTTCACCTGGGTGTTCCAAGGCATTCCAGCAGCTGGTCAGGAGTCCATGGTCTCGTAGGGTGCCTTGAACCACGGCCAAACTCTTGTTGAGTGAGTGAGTGAGTGACGTGGCGTGTAGCCAAGTATGGTGTCCCATACTCAGAATTTGTGGTCTGCATCTCACTGAGACGGATTGCTTTCACTGAGAGAATGAGTCTCACTATTCTCCGCTTGTGGACCGCCTTCTTGGAAGGACCGCAGGCAGCCCCGCTCTCCCGTTTCTCCTCTCTCAGCGAGCTCGGAGAAAGAAGGCTGAGCAACTGGGTTTGAGTGATCCCACGCTGGCACAGGTCCCGCGTGCTCACTCTCCCAGCAGATCTTTGATCCGCCGGTGTGTTTATACGTGAGGATCAGCGACCCCTCGTTACATTGAGCGGTTCAATCCTTCTAGGCGGATCAGAGTAGAATGCTGTCACCGATGTTTCTGTATCATTGACAGCTTCACACTAGGCTGCGCTCACTGAGACAGACTGCTTTTGCTGCAAGAGCATTGGGTCTGTAGCAAATTATCTCAGAAGGGAAATGTATTTAAATAATTACAATTAATTATGATTAATTACAATTATTTATATCAGCTGCCAGTAGTAATGTAGCAGAATTAAATTGCCCTCAACTAATCTGTTCGTCCAGCGAACATTCAGTGCAAGTTCATATCAACTCTAGGAAAGGATATTTTTGTGGCCACAGAAAATACTTTCATACAATATTAATGCATTAGAGCATGTAGCAAGAATCAAAATCGTAAAGGGACATTAATTTGCCAGGCAGAATCAGAAACTCATGTAATTTGTGCACAAGACTTTTATAAACTAAATACTAACACAAACTAGTCTAACAAACAAACAAACATACACTCACACATGCATGCAAAAGGGGAGCTAAAGTGGATGAATGAAGCCATTAGAGAAACCAGATAATGCAGTTATGGAAAATGAGTCAGAACCACCTGAGTTCCAAGAACAGTAATAATAAACAAAAAGGATCTGAGATTATAATAATGCTATAAACATGCTAGTCACTTGCTAATCATGCTAGAAACATGCTAGTAACATGCTAATCATGCTAACAACATGCGAATCAGGCTAGAATTATGCTAGTGACATGCTAGTAACTTGCTAATCATGCTAGAAACATGCTAGCCACTTGCTAATCATGGTAGCAACATGCTAGTGGTATGCTAATCATGCTAGCAAAACATGCTAATAACAAATGCTAATCATGCTAGTTACTTGCTAATCATGCTAGCAACATGCTAGTTACTTGCTAATCATGCTAACAACATGCTAGTAACATGCTAATCATGATAGAAACATGCTAGTACCTTACTCATCAAGCTAGCAACATGGTAGTTACTTGTTAATCATGCTATAAAAATGCTAGCGACATGCTATTAACTTGTTAATCATGCTAGCAAAATGTTAGAAACATGCTAGTAGCATGCTAATCATGTTAGCATGCTAGTAACTGGCTAATCATGCTAGCAACATGCTAGTTTCTTTGCTAATCATGCTAACAACATGCTAATCATGTTAGAAACATGTTAGTGTCATGCTACCAGAATGCTAGTTACTTGATAATCATGCTAACAACATACTAGCAACATGCTAGTAACATGTTAATCCTGCTAGAAACATGGTAGTACCTTGCTAATCAAGCTAGCAACATGCTAGCATCATGCTAGTCACTTGTTAATCATGGTAACAGTATGTTAGTAGCATTCTAATCATACTAGCAAACATGCTAATCAGGCTATCAACATGCTAGTAGAATGCTAATCATGCTTGCAACATGCTCGTAACTTTGCTAAACATGCTAGTTACTTGCTAATCATGCTAACAACATGCTAGTTACTTGCTAATCATGCCAACAAAATGTTAGTAAAAGCCAATCATGTTAAAACATGCTAATCATGCTAGAAACATGTTATCAACATCTATCTAATTTATCTAAATTTTCAAACTTCAGGCTTTTTCAAATGCTTTAAACCTTCAGGCTAGGCTTTTTCAAGCAAACCAAAAGTTTGTCTTGACAAACTTTTTTATCTAGTTTACAATGTTTCCATAGGAAAGCTTATATACAAAAAAAGCTCAGTAATATTTACATGAAAAGAAACAAAAGAGAAAAAAAGGAAAACCCCAGGCATCTAGGGAAAAAGGAGGGAATTGGGTGGCAATCAAACAAAAGAAATAATCAAAACATAACCCTCTCAATTATCAATGTCAATTCTCAATTATCAATTCTACACTAACTAAAGAAAAAGAAACTCTTCAGTATCCGAAGATACCCTAATATAAGCTACTCAAACTATTCCCTGACCGAGGCCCCCCTCGGCACAGATGCACTGGCACACAGCTGGCCACGAGGCCTACGCAAGTACGCATTTCCCTCAGTGAGCCTTCTCGCACAGACACTGTGCAAAGTCAGGGAGGACGAGGAACAGGCCTTGCTAGTTGCATATTACTGGCCCACCCGGACCTGGTTTTTGGAACTCATGCTCCTCACGATAGCCCCTCTCTGGCGGATTCCCCTGAGGAAAGACCTTCTTTCCCAGGGGCAGGGCATCATATGGCACCCGCTTCCAGATCTCTGGAACCTCCACGTGTGGCTCCTGGATGGGACACGGCAGACTTAAGTGATCTCATCTCCCACCGGCGGTGGTAGACACTATCACTAGTGGAGTTTGTTTGCTGACTGATGTTCTTCTCGCTGAGAAGACCCCCGAAGATGCCCTATCAGAGTCGTGCTTTCTTTCCTGCAAGAAAGATTGGAGAGTAGGCTGTCTCCCTCCACCTTGAAAGTGTATGTTGCTGCTAACGCAGTGCATCACGAGGCAGTGGATGGCCGGTCCCTGGGGAAGCACGACCTGATTGTCAGGTTCCTGAGGGGTGCCAGAAGGCTAAACCCTCCTAGGCCACCCCTCGTGCCCTCCTGGGATCTCTCTGTTGTCCTGGCGGGACTTCAGAGGGATCCATTTGAGCCGCTGGAGTCAGTCAAGCTTAAGTTCCTGTCTCTCAAAGACAGCACTGCTGACCGCGCTCACCTCCATCAAGAGGGTTGGGGACCTACAAGCATTTTCAGTGAGCGAAGAGTGCTTGGTGTTCAGGCCAGCCTACTTTCACGTGGTCCTGAGACCCGGCCTGGACACGTGCCCAAGGTTCCCACTACTTCCTTCCGGGACCAGGTGGACTTATTAATATTCAGACCAGATCTCTCTGTGGACAATATTATCTGTTGTTAGACTTCATACACAAATTTCTCTAGAGTATTACAATTACAGTAGAGTGAAAAGGAATGTTTGGAAAACTCGTTTTCATAATTACACTTCTTACTGCATATACATTAGCTTCAAATAAGACTTTTAATGGCAGTCATTGTGTTATAAGCTGCCTCTGGCATGCTATGAGAAGCGGCATGCTTGCAATATGTGCATTTGTGTACTTGCAATATTGAGTTATTTTTCTGTAAATGTAACCGTCAGTAGAAACACATGTGCTGCTTTGAGAGATTCTTTGTTTAAACATCTTAATTGTGCTTTATCAATTGTATGCTACTTTTGATTGATTGGATGATTGATTTTATTTTTTCTAGTTTGGATCATGGAGAACATTTCAGAATCACACCAGGTTTGAGAAAATGTATGTCTTTTCTCTCTTTTACACACATACACACACTCATTGTTTTTTACATCAGGTTCATGATATTTTCTATTGCCTAACCCAGCCCTTACCCCTAAACATAACCATCACATAAACATGTGCACAAAACTAGATATTAATAGAATTAGAATGCATTTAAACAGTCAGTTCAGAATAGTGCTAATCCACAGAAAACATAGAAACCCAGCCGATTACATCTCAGATGATAGTGA